CACACCACCACACCCACACACCACCACACCCACACACCACCACACCCACACGCCCACGGGTGGGCTTTTCTACCCACAGCCCCACCCAGTTTCACCCGCGTATGGGTTTGCCCGCCCACAAACGTGCCGGGCGTGCTTGTTTCAAAGGCCTAACGACATGGCCGGCGACTTGTATTATAAATATTGAAGATACCCTCCTTATCACTATGATACGGATACCCTCCTTATCATTATAAAATATTGAAGATACCCCTTATCGATGATACCCTCCTTATCATTATATTCATATTGAAGATACCCCTTAGCCTTATCGAAGATACACCTCCTTATCATTATATTGAAGTAGATACTCCTTATCGATGATACCCCTCTTATCATTATATTGAAGATACCCCTTATCATTATATCCCCCTTATTGAAGACGCCCTCCTCATTGAAGAACAGTGATTTTTATTCAAGATTTTTGTTCCTTGTAAGTACTTCCTTGAAGCAGAAACTTTTCTATCCAGCATAACCAACAGCAGCAGTTCCGAATAGCTTTTCCTTCATCATCGGATTTAGACCACGCAGCAATGCCTTCTCAGGGTCATCCGTGTGTCCGGCAAGCAGTAGAGCGTCTACCCTCTTCCGTCGATCCTCACGACCAAAGAAATTAGAAATGGTCCAATAATTATGTTGCTGGAGGAGTGGAAGGAGGTGCTGGAGGAAGTGGAAGACAAAGGGTAGTGGATTAGATTAGATTAGATAGATAGATATCACAAAGGATGCTGGGAGAAGAGGGAGTGGATTAGATTTATGTCAATGGATTAGGTTTAGATAAGATAGATTTAGGTAGATAGATGGATAGATGGCACAAAGGATAGGGAAATAAGACAATCAGTTATATTTATTCTTTGAATTCATGATCACTTTTGTTTTCACTTCTTCAACGCCAGACAAATCTTAGAAAAATGCGCTTCCTTTGTCCACCTCTTCCTCACCCTTCTAAAGAAGATGGATGAAGACGTCTATCTAAAATTTAACAGAATGAAAGCATCAATAGCAATATTGCCCAAGCAAGAACAATTGAATCATCTGAAATAGAAATTTCCTGACGAAAGCAAAGGCCTTAAGTGAAAAACGTCTGTTCGGGTCATTTCTTTGCTGCGATAGCCGCTTGCTGAAGTCATCGTTGCCTGTCAAGCTTATCCGCTTAGACGAGATTCGTATAAAGGTAAAAGACTAAGACTATTCCTTGACGAAATTGATAGGACCTTTCTTCAAACAAGTTGTTGCCTGTAAAATACTACAGTAGTTCTTGACAAAACATCCCTTACTAGGGATGATCCCCAAGTCGCTCCTCTTAAAGCATGAGTTGATGGTGCCCATGTGCAAAAATCAGGATATGGAGAAGTCTCTGTCTGGAGCAGCGCTAGTTATACCTACAATAGATACCTAAGTGAATAGTACCAACAAGGAGCCTTAACTTGCGGCTTCGGTGGCGCTTTCGGTGGGGCAGCGGCGGCCTCGGGTGCCTTTGCCTTTGCTTTAGAAGCAGCTTTAGCGCCTGGTGCGGCTTTTGCAGCAGAATTACCTGGCGCGCCGGACTTCGGTTCAGCACCATCCCCTTCTGGTCTTGGAGGAATGGTAGTAGGAAAAATAAAGTCTGGTCCTGGTCGTGTAGTCTGTCAGCTGGAACTTTGTCTTTGTTTCAGAAAAGAAAGAAGAGAAAATTGAAAATGGTAATGGTCTGTATCTGTTGCTACAATTATGTTTGCCTTGTTATTGTTTGATCTTCTTTGTCTATCTCTCTAGATCTGTCTATGTCTATGTCATTTGTCTCTCATAACTCCTCGTCTGCTCCTGGTTTTTTTTCTTTGGACTGTTCATCCCCACCGCCTCGCATTCTTGGAGCATTTTTGTCGCTGAAATAGTTGAGTCCGAAATGCGAAACCGCGCTTCCCTCTGCTCTACACACTTTAGAAGACTTGAGAAGAACCCTGTTCTTGCTTTCCTTATTTTGTTATAGCCTTGATCTTGAAAAAGCTTCTTCACAACGAAGACAGGATGCATGGTGCTTCAAAAGTCCTCTGTCAAGATGGATCATTATAAAGTAAGGAGCCTTAACTCTGCCACTGGGGGGGTCTCGTCGAGGTCGGCGCATAGACGTAGTCCCTAGTAAAGACGATCTTCGGCGCGTTGAGCTTTTCTTCTGTGTCTTAGATGAAGGAGAATCAATGTTAGAAGACACTGCTGCTGACTCTATTTTCTTGAGAGATGAATCTAATTCTCATTATTCAACTGTGCTACTGCTAGGCCTACCAGTTCAGTACTTACGACCTACTAGTAATTGTAACACTTACAACCTAACAAGACCTACTGCACGCGCACGCTTGGAAGTTCTACCCAGTATCATATATAACACCTAGACCATTCACCGTAATCTTTCGTCCTCCGCCACCCGAATCTTCTTCTCTGTTCTTCGGATGTAAAATCCTTTGAATTTCATCCTTTGGCAATGCGTTTAGTCGATCATCGATTTTTTCCATCCGTTCTAGAAGCAACGCGACAGTCTCTTCCGCAGTTTCTGACTCTGAATGGTTCCACTTGTTGAGAATGTCGATCGGGGAACGTCGTTCCCCCTTTGCCTTCTTACTCAGAAACGACATCCCCATAATATCTTCGTTCTCAATGAGTGGCATCATACAGACTCCTTGATTTCGTCTGCCGCTTTTCTCCTCTTCCTTTTCTTCTGTCCAAGTCTTTTACGAATTTCAACCGCATGTTTGAAATCAAACTGGTCGATGTATCGTCCTCGCTTGGCTTTTTCATGCGCTTGCTCGTCTGCTTTGAAGGTACTGTAGATCGAATTAGAGTTTTTACCGCGGTCGCATCTCCCCGGAGAGCCACATCCTCGGCGCCTACTTCTGTTTCCCCTTGAAGAAGAGGCCAAGAATGTATGATGGTGAGGATGCTTCAGCGGTAGCCATAATCGAAGGAGGTTTGTTCTTTCTTGTGTTCTTGGAATCGTCTGCATCATCTTCATCCCCAGGATCGTCTTTCCTTTCTCCTTCTGTTAAAGCTCAGCACTCAATGGTCACTGACTCTGAAAGGAATGGGCCCCATGCCTCTCCCTTTGCTTTTTCTTCATTTTCCCCTGTTCTCTCAAGAGGGATCTCAGTGACCAACCCCAATGACCATTGAAAGCTGAGCCTTAATTCTGGTATGATGTTTCTTCTACCACTACGACTACCACCACTTCTGCCACTACCCTTCTTGTTGTTATCCTCCTCGTCCTTTTTTAGGTTCAGAAGTTTATTGATCTTTGCAGCGCCAGCGCCAGCAGTCGCTTGATCATTGTAGTACATGAATTGTCCTTTTCCCCCTCCTTTCGAAGAACCTTTACTTTTGTGCAACGGCGAGCCAGACGCCGTGGTCTGTAGTCGGGGTGGCAGCATGCTGTTTAACGAGAAAACCTCACCTTTATTCACCGCATTAGAAAAATGAACTAGAACTTATTGTTGTAAAAGTGTTAACAAGTAGTGGTCTTCACATCGTTTATTTACCTCTACATTTGGTACCTAGTGAAAATCTCTTTGATGGAACCTTCCGCGTCCTCGATCCCGATCACGTCAAAAATTATCCCGACTATTGGTGCTGCTGCACTTCTCTGGTCCTATACTGCGCAGAGTTGTATCATGCATCCACCAGTGGAGCTAGAGTATTCGAAAAACTGAAATAAGCAAGTAACTGATCAGAATGACCAAGATACTGATGAGAAGGAAGACGAGCCACTTGGCGTTAAGCTACCTCCCTTATTTGAGTCAGTAACTCGGTTATTTTGAGTATTCGAAAGTATCTATATCTTCAGGTCATAAGCCTCATATCTCCAGTGGACATGTTCGCCAATTGGAATTGCCTCATGCTCTCGTTATGTTCCGCGACCATCTTCTCCTGCTCCCCATCGAAAACCTGCTGTCGTCGTCGTGTAGCAACTTCGGTTCCGGATTAGAGAGGTAGATTTAGATTTAAGGAGAGGAGTCTAGAAGTAGATTTAGATAATTATGAATGTTTTCCTTGTACATAAAAAAACGTTTTTCCCGCTTCTGCAGCGTACTCGAATTCGGGATAGCTTTTCGCCAAATCATATTCCCCACCATCTGCTGTGGTGAGAAATATGTCGCGGTTTACTGCTATTTTTCGCTTCGTAAAGTCCTCTGGCGATTCAGTCTTCGATCGTCCTCCCATTTTCTGCCTCACTGTGTCTGCCACGTCGAGTTTTTGGAGTTGTTTCACCATTTCAGATACACTCCCAGGCATGCCAGCCAAACCACCGACGCCTACATTAGATACAACACCTCAACAAAAGTAGAGTTAAATGAACGATTCTATTCTACTTAGTTTCACTTCGACTTCCAGCGGAGACCTGAGCTGACCAGGAAAACAAAGAGGAAGTCAATCAGTCTTAGTCTTCACTGCTCATTCGATGTTGTTCAGAGTAATCAGGCATAGGATAGAACAAGAAGATGACCTGCTGTAGAAATAAGCTATAGATATACAGATGGAACCGTAACTACACGGCCCGTCGCTGCTGAGAGCATTCTGTTTTCCTCCGCGATCTCCTCCTGAGCGTTTCTAGCTAGACCGTGGAAAAACGTCTTCGCCTTTTAGAAGGTGGTCCATATACTTACGAGAGATCTCAGAAGTCAGAAGGTAGAACAAGAAACAGAAAGCATTGCAATCGTGATAGCGGAAGAGCGGTGGCATACGACAGGCACACCAGGCTATTCTTCTACCTATTTCATTCAGCTTGTTACCCTTACCTTTTAGAACTTTAGTAAGGCTCCTACCCTTCAGTTTCAAATTGCAAAACCTAAATCCAAATTACATGTGAACATAAATTTTTCCCAATCTGAAGCCTTCTACCTCGCCAAATTTATAGGTCTCCACGAAACCCATCTGAGTCGGAATTGAATACTCCACATGCAGCAATTCGGCGTCGCACTGAGCCACCAGTCTATGAAAGTAGTGTTGATCTAGTTCATCTAGGGAGACCCAGACCATCGAGGAAGGTCCCCTTTAACAAAAACTTGTACAAATAAGCTTTGTTTCATCAAGAGGAAAAATAAAAGGAACAGCTTATAGTCGAAGTCTAGATGGTCTGTCTCTGTCTGTTACTTTGAATGTTTCCGGTATTTGGTAACCTGAATTCGATCATAAGGGAAAACAAGAAGAGAACCCTTAGGATCAAATTCAGGTTACCAAATACCAGAACCATACATACTTAAAATGGGAGAAAAAAGAACATCCATACAATCGTTCCAACTCCCGGTTTCTCTCTGGAATTTGCTTAAACCTCGGATCAGCAGCTATGCTCTGAGCTGTAGAATGAAGAGCTGCATCGTCGAAACTGTCTTTTTGCATCGAGGAGCTTCCAAATTTTCCAGAACTACTACCACCTACAAACGAAGCTCCGAATTTGCCACTTTGTGCAGCAGACAAAATCGCTAAACTTAGAAGAGCTGATGTAAATGTAAAACTAAACGGGTGGGGGTGGAGGTGGTCGGATCTCAATATTTGTTGTTGTTCAACATTGAGTTTGAGACCATCTTCTACTTCTTCCTACTTGGCGTCTCTCTACGACCTACGTTCTCTCTTCATTCCTCTGCAATAAAAAGACGCCAAGCCAAAGAATGACGCTGAAGCCGTACGAAGCCCCAACAAAAGCAAAACAAGATTAGAACAAAAAAACAAACAACCTTATTTGAAACACGACTCTCTTGCTTGCCGTTGCCTTAAGGAAGGGTGCAATTTATGGGGTCCAAAGGTTCCGCCCATTCCCTTGTGCATACTACTTGGCATCACAAGCTCGCCTTCAGCTCTCATCGTTGATCGACGAGGACGTCGGTGATGACCCTCAGCGTCGTCGTAGCCTTTGGGATGAAGAAGGATCATGTGATCACGATGACGATGATAAATACCCAGTATTTACGGCTGTGGAGGGATGATGATGATGATGATGATGATGATGATGATGATGAACTCTAGTGGCGGTCCGATCCACGACCTTTCTCGAGGCATAAAATCGAGAACGTACTATGTTGTATTTACGTTTATTAATGCCTAGTGGTGCCTAGGAACGCAGTTTCATGTGTAGAAGTAGTTCTTCTAACAGTCTGCGTCGACGAACGCGAGGTGGGCAATCCGAAAGACGCTATGAAGCACCGGACTAGATTATGGAATGATTCAAATCCCCTACTCATACTCTTCAACCCCCATATCGTCGCCATCTTCGCCTTCAGATCTGCGCATTCCTGCGTCCATATCACGTAAAGCGTTATTAGAGCAGTCCGTAATTCATCTTTCACGTCGTGCATCCTTGAAAAGTACTCTGGGAGAGTATCATAATTCCCTTATAAGTGGGTCGATACTCCTCCATACGATGCATTTCATCAAGGATGCGTCCAAAGATGTATTAGGTACAGCCTTAACTTTACTTCTCCGCATCCTACTGTAATCCACATCATCTTCTCCACTTGGGAGATTAGAGCTAGAAGGATCATGTTGGGGTTGTGTTGCATGTGTCAAAGATTAGACCTACTAGAAGCATATTGCTGTTGTCGTGGAGAAAGACGCATTATTCAGCAAATCCTGCCTGGTCAACATGTTTAACAAGGGTAATTCGGATACGAATACGTATCTATAGAAGTATCACCCTTTACTACTCCAGCATAATTCTAATTTCCCCCTATATCATATGGGTGGAGCCAAGCTAACTAGGAAAAGTAAAAAGAAATGTATGTAGATATGAAAAGATATATAGTATTAGGTTGTGACCCAGATGTAGAATGATAGACTGATATCAAAAAGTAAAATTATAGCCCCATCTACTTCTAGTAATTTCAACACCCTCTTCTAGTATAAGAACAGCGTAATTCCCTCCTATTTCAACAACATAACTAATTTCAACAACATAACTGAAACTCTGCGCACTACTGCTCCAGAGCCTTCTCGTCTACGACTTTTGCGGCCGGCGGCGCCTGATAACGTAGCGGCAAAGTCCACCGCGTCCTGACCTTGAGTGTTAGCCAAAGCTTTCTGCATATCCTCCGAGAGAGCAGTTACATGTCCCTGTGCGTTCATCTCCACAAGGGTGCTTTGCCGACGACCAGCTAGTTGTACTGCTGGCTATGAAAAGAAAATCTGTTATCATTATCAAGTTTTTGAAGTAGAAAAGTACGATAATGATAACAGATTTTGGTTTCATATTTGCCGACCAGCTAGTACTGCTGGAGGAAGTGTACCACCGAATTGGTCCTCTGGAAAGTACGCACTGCCACGATGCCGATCTCCTACTGCGTTCCTACGCGCGCCTCGGTAGATGATATGAAGAGAGGACTCATCAAAGTGTATATCTATGTAGTAAGTGTATGTAATATATTTATAAGATGAGCCTACTAGGACTTTCTAAGATCAGTATTTCTATGGAGTGAAATTGTAGTGAGGACTTCCATCAAGTCTCTGAGGCGGCGAGCGGCAAACTTCGTGGTTTAAACAGTTTAAAAATAGTCGAAGATTTTTGGTGGACAAAAATCATAACCCTTATACACCGGTGCTCCTGCCGCGTCTTCATTGTCATATATCCCACGGCGTACTACGTGTCCATGCTCCATATAGGGAACCACTAGATGGTCATTGGCCATGGTGATGTAAGGAACGTTTTTCATGTGTTCCAAATTTTTTGGGTGCAGTACATCCAGTTCCCTTAGTTCCCGCATCCGCTGCTCGTGCTGGCGAGCCGCATCGAGAGATTAGAGGATGAGGATTGCCACTGCGTTATAAACAATGCCTAACAAGACAAGTCGACATGATCCAACAGATGACCACTTCGTACTTCATTCTCCTTTGCAAGATGCAAGCACAAGGAAGTCGCACTTTTAACTTAGAACCTCAAACAAGATGCAAAGTTAGAAACACACGGACCACACGCTTAAACCCGCATTCGAATTTTAGCGAAAATTAGGGAGCCAGCATATCCCCTAATTTTCCCTAAGTTTTGACCTCCTCCACAAGCGTGTCCGTTTGTTCATAGCAAAGTGGTCTCATACTTCTCAAGTAGACACTGGGTAGATTTTGCTTCATCCACGTGCGGCTTGCATCATCTGTAGAGAATTAGATCTCACATTCACAAAGAGACAAGATGAAAGTCGTACTCGCACCCTAATTAAACGTCGCCCATGACTGCAGTGACTCCTGGAAGACTGGGTCGGTGCCTTCGTTCAGGTACATGT